CTTCCGATCTCCTGCTGAGAACACTCATTCTCTCCTCCTTCTTGATTAGTCTTCTAAGTTCCAAATGTTGGCTGAGTCCTGTCTCCGAATGGTGAGGAGGGTACCTGCAAAGGCACTCCAACGCTCAAGTGAGTATTCGGTATAGAGCAATAAAGGCTATTATATTAAATAATCATACCTGTCCCATCAGTCCCATGAATACCATATTTATAGTGACGTTCTTGGGCCTGGTGGGCTTTCTGGATTATTGGGCTAGTGCACAAGGTTTTGCACACTGATTATAGCTAACGTGGATGTGTTTAATGTAATTAATACCTGTTTTCCTTTTTCTCATGGAAATTCATTAGTTGAATACCCATTTGGTATGTTCATCAGCCGAGGGGGTATTCGGCATGTTCATTGGTCGAAGGGGTGTTTGGCCTGTTCATTGGCTGAAGGGAAATTCGACATGTTCATTGACCGACGGGGTGTTTGGCCTGTTTATTGGCTGAAGGGGAATTCGACATGTTCATTGACCGACGGGGTGTTCAGCCTGTTTATTAGCTAAAGGGGTATTCGACCTTTCCCTTGGTCGAATGGGTGTTCGGCCTGTTCATTAGCTTGATGGGTACTCAGCCTGAGGGATACTCTGCCTATTCATTAGCCTGATAGGTACTCGGCCTGAGGGGGTACTTGGCCTAAAGGGGTGCTCGGCCAAAGGGGGTACTCGACCTAAGGGGGTACTCGGCCTATTCATTGGCCTCATGGGTACTCGGCCTAAGGGGGTACTCGACCCATTCATTGGCTTGATGGGTACTAGGCCTAAGGAGGTACTCGGCCTAAAGGAGTGCTCAGCCTAAGCGGGGTACTTAGCCTATTCATTGGCCTGATGGGTACTCAGACTAAGGGAGTACTCGACCCATTCATTGGCCTGATGGGCACTCGGCCTGAGGGGGTACTCGGCCTAATGGTGTACTCGGCCTAAAAGGGTGCTTGGTCTAATAGAGTACTCGACCTAAGGGGGGTACTCGACCTATTCATTGGCCTGATGAGTACTCGGTCTGAGGGGGTACTCGACCCATTCATTGGCCTGATGGGTACTCGGCCTGAGGGGGTACTCGGCTTAATGGTGTACTTGGCCTAAGGGGGTACTCGGCCTGAGGGGTACTCGGCCTAAAGGGGTGCTCGGCCTGAGGGGGGTACTATGTTGGGTACATCTCGATCTTTTCCAAGGCCGAAGGGTTGTGTTTAATGTTGACTTTGACCAGATGGTGTGTAGTCCCAGTACACTGCCCCCCAAGCCCGAGGATGAAAGACGAAGGGATTCAAAGTATTGGAAAAGATTTGACTTGTATGAGGGGATGTGTTGGAGGTCAAAACGTGGTACTGCCCTCGGGAGTTGCGTCCCTTGACTAACCGATTGTGACCGTTGCATGATGTGCCGCCCTAGGGTTTCGCGCCTAGGTGGAGAGGTGTGGCGTTTGGCTTTTCATACCCTGAAAGCATTTATGAAGGTCTCCTCGCACCTTGGTATAATTCTCGTCGTCCTTGGCCAAGTGTGAAGACTTGGGAGGGAATGAGATGGTCCTCCTTGGCCGAGTATATGCACTCGGGAGGGAATGAGATGGTCCTCCTTGGCCGAGTATATGCACTCGGGAGGGAATGGTATTGGTCAACCTTGGCAGAGTGTGTGGACTCGGGAGGGATTGGTGTTGGTCAACCTTGGCCGAGTGTGTGGACTCTGGAGGGATTGGTGTTTGTCAACCTTGGCCGAGTTCATGGACTCGGGAGGGAGTCATTTTTTTGTCCTTAGCCGAGTGGGGGAACTCGGGAGGGGATTGTGTATTCTTCCTTGACCAAGTTGACACTTGGGAGGGAACTAACTTCCTTGGCTGAGTGTAGGTTCTCGGGAGGGAATCGTTTCTTCGTCCTTAGCCGAGTGGAGGAACTTAGGAGAGAATTATGTATTCTTCCTTGACTAAGTTGGCACTTGGGAAGGAATTAACTTCCTTGGCCGAGTGTAGGTACTCGGGAGGGAATCATTTTTTCGTCCTTAGCCAAGTGTAGGAACTCAGGAGGGAATTTATTATCTATCATTACTGAATTGTGTTTCATTATTGAGGTGCATCGGACTCTACAATTTTTGTGGGGGTCAGCCGAATTGGACTGAATTGCTGTGGGGGTCAGCCAATGATTCTCCCGTCAAGAGATAATTGGTGATGTTAGTCATCCAATTTTTGTCTCCTTGACGAATTTCTAAGAACTCGAACTCTACAATGCTTGGACTTTGTAGCTCTTGATGTATTGCACTACGGAGTTGGTTCGTCTTCTTACTACTTGCCAACTTTGCCAATTGGTCGGCCCTCGTATTGAGCTCTCTAGGGGTATGACTTATGTGGACCTCTTCGAAGGTAGCCTTGAGTTTCTGGAAGGCCTGGAAGTACTTGAGCAATGTCAGCTCCTTGACTTGAAATGTTCCATTTATCTACTCCATGACTACCTGGGAGTCACTCCAACACTTAACTCTCGTGATCCCCAATTCTCTTACCAGGCAAACTAACTAGCAAGGCTTCATATTCGGCTTGATTGTTGGAAATCTTGAAGTTGAAGCGTAGTGATTGTTCTACCACCATGTTGTCCAGTCCTTCAAGTATGATCCCGGCTCTGCTACCCTGTTGGTTTGATGACCCGTTTACGTGTAATGTCCATACTACCTTTTCTGACGCGGTTTCAGGGTGAAACTCATTTAATAAGTCAACCACGCTTTGAGCTTTGATAGGAGCTTTTGATTCAAACTGAATGTCAAATTGTGATGGCTCTATTGACCATGCTACCATTCTACCTGCGAGCTCGGACTTTCTCAAGACTTTGGCTATCAGACTGTCCATCCTTATGACTATTTTATGGCTTTGAAAGTAGTGGCGTAAGCGGAGAGCCACCTGTACCAAAGCAAGGACTGTCTTTTCGAGCTGCTGGTATCAAGTCTCTACTTCTTGCAGGACTCTACTAACGAAGTATACTGGAACTTGCTCTCTCCTTTCTTGTACCAAGGCAGCACTAATGGTCATTTTAGAGACAACTATGTAAACTATGAGGTCTGACTGGGGGTTTTGTTTAGACAAGAGTGGTGGTGCAACAAGCATTGCTTTGAATTCTTGGAATGACGGTTCACACTCCTCGATCCATTGGAATTTGTGGGCCTTCTTCAACAACAACATTATTGGCCTAGAATTGTCCGCCATGCATGGTAAGAAACGCGTCAGTGATGTTATCTGCCCAGCCAAGCGCTGCACTTCCTTGACGTTGCGAGGGCTCCTCATGTCGATGATAGCCTCATCGAACACCTACCTTAGGTCTTTGATGTGATCGTCCATGGAGTCAGACTTTACCACCATGTCGTCTACATACACTTCTAGGGATCCAACTGGTCAAACCTACTATTGACAAATGAAGCTTGTAATTAAATGTGGATGTCATAAAAATGAAAGCGAGGAAGTTGTAATAATGAATCTTTCTCCGTTGCCTTTTCCTTGTAACGGAAGAAAAGAGGGAACACAACTTTATGAATATAGAAAGCAGGTATTATGAAATGTAGGCAATCATTTACTTGTCATAATGTTGATATGGTAAGCATGAATCATGAAAACACAAAAGTGGCCGCGTTTACAGGTTTGGAATGAACCGAGTAATGCTTAGGCTGTAAAATCAATTTCTCTTTTTTATTTTATTATTTTGTCATCTACTTTCAACTTTTACCTACAGTAAAACCTTTGTCACTGTATTTATTTATTTAAAACAAATGTGTAACTACAGGAAAATCGCAAATTCTGGACACGTTTGGTTTTAAGTCGAGAGTTTCTCAACGTATGTCTAAAAAGTAAAATTAAAAAAAATATTTTTTGAGTTTGAATTAGATTGGTTATGTATTTAAAGTGTTTGGTTCAATCCAAGTGGTTCAATGAAGATGAATAGCTCATGCCAGGTTAATTAATATAAGTAGTTAAAGAATCGGTATGAATTTCAACATTTTTTTAATGATGAGTTTGAATCTCTTTAATTTGACTTTTTATTTAATTTAAAAAGAAAAGCGATAATAATTATAATATTTAAAAACTGGGTGGAGTTTGTAAAGAAGGTAAATTTTGGAACAAGAAATGGGGCGTTAGCAGATAGCAGATAGCAGATAGCAGATAGCAGATATAGCGATGCCATCTCGACAACTAGCGACGTCAGGTGGAGGTTGGAAGAAGCAGGGTGGTCTGTTAGGTTCCACTTCCAGCGCCTTGGCCTGCTCTTTCTTCCTCTTAATCTTGCTCTGCCTCCGCAAGAGAAAGCGCACCACTCCCTCCTCCGACGCCGACTCTAACCCTCCTCATCCCTACCCATACCCGCTCCTCCGCCGGGCCACCAACTCCTTCTCCACGCGGCTGGGCCAGGGCGGCTTCGGCCCCGTCTTCTCCGGCACCCTGGGCGGGCAGCCCGTGGCCGTCAAGCTGATGGACTCGGCCTCCCTCCAGGGCGAGCGCGAGTTCCACAACGAGCTCCTCTTGGCCTCCCGCCTCCGCTCCCCCCTGGTGCTCCCCGCCATCGGCTTCTCCTCCGACCCCAAACGCCGCCGCTTCCTCCTCGTCTACCAGCTCATGCCCAACGGCAACCTCCACGACGCCCTCCTCCGCCGCAGATCCCCCCACCTCACCCCCTGGAAAAACCGCTTCCACATCATCCTCCACGTCGCACGTGCCATCCACTACCTCCACTCCCTCCAGCCCCCCGTCATCCACGGCGACATCAAACCCTCCAACATTCTCCTCGACCACTCCTTCTCCGCCAAGCTCGCCGACTTCGGCCTCGCTCGCTTCAAAACCCACACCCTTCATCCAAATAAGGATGAATCCGAGAGCGACGCCCCCTCCGAGTCCGACTTTGAAACTCAGAGCGTCAACACCGACCAATCATTCGATGACACCGCCAAAGGGGACTATGTGAGGGATTGGATTGCATCCAGTAGTGGAACCGTGGAGAAGAAGAAAAGTAGGAGGAAACTGGGATGGTGGGAATCCATGGAGGGTCATGGTTTGAAGAAGGACAAGAGGAGGCCGGCGAGGGAATGGTGGAAGGAGGAGTATTCAGAAGAGCTTGCCAAGAAGAAGAAGAAGAAGAAGAAAAAGGGTGATATGGATAATGAAGAGGATGTAGGCGTATACAAGAACCGTAGTGGTGTGGAATCGTGGTTGAGCGGAGAGCGGTGGAATAGTTACGAGTCGGCGGAGATGGCAGGAAAGAGGGGGGGGGGGAGTGTAGGCGTATACAAGAACCGTAGTGGTGTGGAATCGTGGTTGAGCGGAGAGCGGTGGAATAGTTACGAGTCGGCGGAGATGGCAGGAAAGAGTGGGGGTGTGAGTAGCAGTCGGAGTATGAGGGGAACGATTTTGTACGTGGCACCTGAGTGTGGGTACAGTGGGGAGGTGTCGGAGAAGAGTGACGTGTACAGTTTGGGGGTTTTGTTGCTTGTGATTGTTTCGGGGAGGCGTCCGCTGCAGGTGACGGGGTCTCCGATATCGGAGTTTAGGCGTGCGAATCTGGTGTCTTGGGCGAAACAGTGTGCGAGGAAAGGGAAGGTTCTGGAAGTGGTGGATGAGAGTGTGGAGGGGTTGGATAAAGAGCAGGCCATTCTGTGCGTGACGGTTGCGCTCATGTGTTTGCTCAACTCACCTGCTCGTCGCCCTTCCATGGAGGAGGTTCTGGGAATGCTCACTCGCCACATCCAGACACCGCCACAGGAACATGGTTCACAAACAATTTCCATGTCCAATTATTCCCAACAAAGGCGCACATCATCACAACGGATACAATTTTAGCATCCATTTTCAAATTATTTATCTCTAAATTATACCCCATTCCTTTATAAGTATCTACATTTTTTCTGGGTTTAACTATAAGTATCTACACATTCATATACAAACTCATTACTTTCATTTTAGTTAAATGAATTATTACTATTTATTTTTTTATTTTTTTTATTTTATAGATTTATTAAATTAAAAATCACGCGAGTCTGTGCTACAAGAACTGGATGGAGATTGGTGATCTTTTAGCCCACACTGATAGAAGACCCACAAGCCCAACACAATTCATCGTGCAAAGCCCACCGAACCCAGATAGGAATTAGGAACTGCCAGTCCGCAACACAAATATTTATAACTGCAATCAATCCTCCACTAGTTGCACCAAGATGCCCACTATTCCCTTCCACAACCTTGTTAATTATTTCTCCACTCACAGTATAAAACAAATGAAAAGAGTGACTCAATTTCTTGCATCCTGATCTAGAGTGTTAGACAAAAGGAGTGAGCCATAGTTCCACCAAAAACAAGGAATTAAGTTCGCGAGAAAGGCCTCGTCTTATACACTCGTTATTTTATTTTTTAAACAATGATGTAGACTCTGAAAAAATATAATCACATAAATTACGAATTTGTTCCAACTCAGTTTCAATGCTGTCAAAAGGACTAAGTTTTGAAGATATTATATTATCAGAAATATTCAACGCACTCGATAAAATACAATTCAATACTTCCGATGAAAATTGGATATTCATCGATGCTAGTATAATGTTAGTGTTCAACGCTCTCAATGGAGTAAGTTTTAAAAATACTATTACGTATTATGTTAACGTCAGAAATATATATTGGACTAATCCAAGGTGTATGTATTTGATTACAACTCACTCAAATTATTTTTTAACACAAATTAGAACTCAACCCCTGTACCCTTTTTTTCTTTCTTTCTTTGTTTCTGTAACTGTTATAAGAAGTAAACAAATTAATTACAAAGATGAACTGGCCTTGTCTTGTGTGATAAAAAATACAAAGATCAACCCCATGACAGCAGAAAATTCTAATAGTGTGTTTGGACGAAAAATTTTACAAATTCAAGAAATTTTAAATTCTTGATATTTAAATTACTTATATTTCAATTTCTATCGTTCTTAAAATATTTTGTTTGGATGAGTCAATTCAAATTTCTTAAATTTTAAATTGTTAGGTTGAATATGATAATTTGATTCTACTATAGTAAATTATATAAATTTTAAAATTTAAAAACATATTTATATGTTGAGATTTTTAAATTAAATTTTATAAAAATAAATATTAATCCATTTTTATGAAGAGATAAAATAAAATATAAAAGTGAAATAAGAAAAATAAATATAAAAAATTTTAAATTCTCTAATTTTTAGAAGAATTTAAAATTCTACTATTTTAAGAAATTTAACGAACGTTTGATTTTTAAATTCTTTATAAATTTTTTATCTAAACAAAATATTTCACCTCAAAAAATTTAAAATTTTTTAAATAAATAAATTATATTATATAAATTCTTCCATCCAAATAAAACAAGAATATGCAAAGTGATTGGGTATTAACGATTGCAACTTTATCGGTCCAATCAGAGACGGGAAATGATTTAACCTTCTCTTCCAAGGTTAGATGCTCTTTTTCTTCCTTGACTTTACTTCGTTGACGGTGTGAATATTTGGTAATCATTGAAGGTTTGGTTGTTACACTTGGATCAAAAACGCGTAGGTTTTCCTTAATTTTAATTTAATTTCATAATTAAAGTTTTTTTTAAAAAATATTTCTTACATTTAATAATAAGAATCGTCTTATATTCTTCTATACAAATAAAAAAAATTAATAAATAAATGAAATAAAATACTACTTCTATTTCTTTTTAATAGAAGTAGTCATTTTATTAAAAAATCAAGAAATGTTGTAAAATTTTCAGTTTTTTTAATTATATTGTTTTTTTTTAATATTTTCTATTATATTCCTTTAATTTTTGCTTTTTAATAAATGTATGCTAATTATTAATGTATTAATTAATTAAAAGTTATGTGATATATAAGGATATAATTGACAAAAAAAGTAATTAACATTATCTTAGACCCCTTTAAAAAAAAACATTATCTTAGACTTTGAAAGGGAAATATAAATAAAAATGAAATTTTCTTAAAAACTAATAATTAAAAAGGAATGAAGGTAGTAATATTTTATAAAATTAATCTTATAATTAATCTTCTTTATTATAAAAATAATGCAATACAACAATCGTTTTCTAAAAATATATTATTAAGCATATAAATGGAAAAGTAATAATTAATACTATGTTAAAAAATTAATATAATATTTATTTTGAGACTTTTTTTTTTCCTTCTATTTTAACATCATTTATTATGGAACGAAATGACTAATATTTTGACAAAAGTTACATATAATTCCTTATGTGTGATGAGTGTTGTTTTTTTAATTAAAATTGGAGTTGTACTTCAAGAATATCGGATCTCACTATTAATTATACTGTTACACATATTATTAAGATACTACTTCAATCCTAATTCGAGAATAACATCAATTACACATAAAATGAATTGCATTTAAGTTTTATTCATAATATTTTCTGTCTCATAATAAATGTTATCTTAAATTATTTTATACATATTAAGAAAAACTAATAAATAAATGAAAGAAAGTAATATTTATAAAATTAACCCTACTATTATTTATTTTGCTAGAAATAATAATTTTTTTAAAAAAAAATTATTACTAGGGACATAAATGAATAAGCAGTAATTAACACAAGTAAATTAAAAATTTAGAATAATACTTACTTTATAACTTTTTTTTTCTTATACAACATTTATTATGAGATAGAGGGAGTATATATGTGGTGATTTTGTTTAATCAAACTAAGATGATAGACTACCATTCATTATTATTAGTGATTAAGATTTATTTTTTAAAATTGCAATACTATAAATTAGTCAAATCCAAAAAATTATGAGAAATGATATTTATCTATAAAAGAAAGTGTAATATCCAATAAATAAGGGTATGTTTAAATATTCAAATGGGGAGAAGAGGAAAGGGAGAAAATAAAGATTATGTTTGGTTAAGAGGAGGAACTTTGAGAGACATAACTCTTTTCTTATTTGATTTATAAGAAATATGAGATTTTAAAGACTAATATATTTTTTAATTTTTATAATTTTAAATTTAAAAACATAAAATATTTTAGAAATTACACTTAAAATGTTTTAAAACTCATTTCTTCTCCGTTAAATGCTAAAATTATACGAAGATGAATTGTATTGTCCTCCCCATATACCATTCGGTAAAGTTAACAAATTTTTTATATATAGTAATTTGTTATTAATCAGATGAAAGTATATATATAAGAACACTTTACTGCTACATATCCTATTTTTTCTTTAGCATATAATGATATGTTGAAATTTATTAGCTCTGGTCGAAAGCATATTGAAGACTTATCCTAGTATGCTACAGGCAGTGCGAAACACCAATGTTTTCCTTGGCACAGAATAATTAATAACAAAAAAAATAAGTTGTATTGTTGGTGACTTGGTTGTTGGAGTAACGACGTTTCATCAAGGCAAATTGATTTGATCTGTGTCCCACGTCGGCATGAACATATAATAAGAAGCCATTACGTACATAGTTGAGTTAGGACTTAAGCCACTACTGATGCTTTATATAAAACTCACACCAGTAATGCTTTTTCTGATTTGAAAGGTAAAGTGTGTTCTTCTTTTATTAATTTTTTGTTTGTATTTTTGGGAATATTTTACTTTAATTATTATGTGTGTGTGTGTGGTTTCACAGTTCATACATTACATTGTGTTTACTTGTTAATTTAAATGTTTGTAGGTCTTAATAAAAACTAACTTTTCACTTTAGTTTTTATAACATATCATCCAATAACTTTCGCTAAATTATTAGGGGATTAATCTATACACATACGACATCCAAGTTTGTAATTTAAGACGTATATAAGACAGAATTGCTGTCAAGCTGTTGGTACCGGAAAATGAATTCGGAGGCACTCGAAATACAGAGGTGCTTTAAATCCTAGGTGATCGGAAAATGGCAAAGAAGTTTCTGAGGAAGGACACGAAGACACTTTTCGTGAAACTCTCGAAATCATTGTACCAGGAAGGACACGAAGACATTTTTCGAGAAACTCTCGAAATTATTAAACTAGGAAGGACGCTGCTCAAGAGAAAGGCTCACAGCCTCGCAACCTCTCAAAGTACAAAAAAAATCAGGAAACACTCGAGTAGTATATTTTTCGTTGGTTACTCGAAATCCCAAGAATCCGGACATACACGAACACACTTCGCAACCTCTCAGAATGAAGAACTTAAAGGAGACACGATTTAAGAGCTAGATTGAAGGACGGTACTCAAAATTTCATCTCTGATGTTTTCTATGCTCCTGGTCTTCACCATAACCTGTTGAGCTTGGGACAATTATCAGAAAAAGGTTACAACATACAGATTCATGATGGCTACTGTATGTTGATTGACAAAAATAGGAGATTGATAGCCAAGGTAAAAATGTCTCCTAATCGACTATTTCCTTTGAATGTTCAATACGATAAAATTCCTTGCTTGAGCTCCATTATACAAAATGATGATTGGCTGTGGCATATGCGCTTTGGACATTATCACTTTTCTGGATTAAATTTTTTATCTAGAAAAGAGTATGTATCTGGTTTGCCTGTTATAAACATTCCTAAAGGTATATGTGAGACTTGTGAAATTGGAAAGAAACACAGAGAATCCTTTCCAACTGGAAAGTCCTGGAGAGCAAGAAAGCCATTAGAGATTGTGCATTCAGATTTATGCATGGTTGAGATACCATCACATGGCGGTAGCAGGTATTTCATTACTTTTATTGATGACTTTAGCAGAAAATCTTGGGTGTATTTTTTGAAACAGAAATCAGAAGCTTGTGATGCCTTTAAGTCATTTAAGGCATTAGTGGAGAAACAAAGTAGCTGCAAGATTAAAGCATTGAGGACAGATAGAGGTCAAGAATACCTTGCCTGTGCAGATTTCATTGACCATCA